TCATTTATATTAATGCTGTTTTTTGCCCTCACATTGACTGTGTTCGTTCGTATTCAAAACACCTTTACGAAAATAAAGGCCGTATAAGTCATGTGTGTTATGTTTCGAGATAAATGGATTATACGCTTTTTTAAGTTTCCATTTTGCGGTGACTTCAGTTTATATCTCCATAAAATGGTAAAAGAAATATCAAGAAACATCACGAGAGCTGAAAATTTTCAAAGGCATGTTTCTGAAACTCGCTAATGCTAACATCAATATAGCGTGCTTGCTGAATGGGCGAAAACACAGAATTGTGATCACAAGATCTTGTACAAATTTAATGATAAAAGCTTAGCAAGATACAGATATAAACAAAAGCAAACCCCCTGAAACCTCGACGTGGGCTAAACTTGTATGCTCTACTCAGTCACCAAACCTTGTCAGTAATAGCTCCTATTTTCCTCAAGTCGCTCTCTGTGAAGCTCCCGGATGGGATGTCCCGGAGAAGCTTTAAACTTGTGTGCGAAATTCTCAGTTCCTACTTTTGTCCGTGTCTTCTTTATCCTCAGTATCCAAAATTTAGACCTCCAAAGTGGCGTGTGTTGCATTAAATAGAAGGAAATATTTAAAGGAAAAGCCAGTCTTCTAACATGGCAAAGTTGTCACGTCCCTCGCTCATGGACGTGCGTCACATCAGGATTTCATCTGCCATTCATCGGCAACTGAGTTGTACTGACTATGACGGCTTACAAACAAGTCTTCAGCCATAGTGTCGTCAACTGGTGAAATACTTTGCTCATAAATTGTGCTTCTTAATTGCTCATGTACTACATCGATCGATAGTTCACGAAGCGGCCACGGCGTTCCAAACCTGACGCTCACAGTCATCTTTTCAGTCTTTTACCGTGAACGGCGTGTCGATTTGAATGCAACGCGAGCATTTCTCTGAGTTTCCCCGCGCCAACATCATCTAACTGACTTAAACTCGATCAATAAAAAATTATAGAGTGACTCCCATGGTCGAATCGCTTCGAACAACGCAAATAGCCTTCTTCAGGTTCGCAACGCCTTGTGGGTTTTTCAGGGGGAGCGCAGACAAGGTACAAAAAGTATCCGTGCAAGGCTACGTGCAAGAGAAACTCATATGAAACCATTTGTGAGAACATCGTTTCTCGGTACCAGACCCTCGTGTCCTCCCTCCCCCGGGAGACCACTTTTTGACACTGACGACCGAAAGCCCATTTTATGACTGAACCGCACAGGCAGCCCAGTAATAATTGCAAATTAGGGGACTGCGTTCGACGGGGAGGGGGAGGGTGGTGGCTAGTGAGTGGTAGTGGGAAGGGGGTGCAAATCCTGAAGGGCTTGTAATATCGAGAAATCAAACTCAAACACTTTTATCAATATGAATATCAGCAGCTGTCTTTATCACTGTTATTGTTTGTTCTCCCACTTTACAATTCGTTACTATTTCATTTTTCCTCAAAAATGCAAGAGCGTACTGTACTTTTTACATTTACTTCGCTAAACCTCTAAGTAAAGTACATGTAAGTAACAACAGGTCAAACACTGACTATGATCCTTAGGATATTCTTTTGAACTATAGGATGATCAATAAAATTGGCTAAAAATTGGGATACAGAAAATTATAGTTATCTGAAAAGTTAAGCGTCGCGTATCACTTTAAACCCTTGTTGTGTGACACTAGGCTAACACGACTCACCTACTTGGCTCTGTTTTCAAAATACAACGCACCCGGAATTAGTGAGATGAAAAGGTCAACGTTTCTTTGTTCAACTTCTTGTATATTTTTCAAAAATGGTGACAAGCAAAGGCAAATACAGCGCTGTAAATAGCTTTTAAAAGCGAAAAGACATAATTTGTAATAGAATCAAATATGGTCGATCTAAGCTGATCTTGCTTGAATCCATAAAAACAAATACAGTGTGCAAAACACATTGTTAACATAATATCTACTTATCCGATTATCTTAGAGTGGAAATTTTCCTATGATAAAAAAAACTATAAACAAACCTGTGGTAAACGGAAAATCGCCAACGTATCATCTGTGAACGTGTGTCACAAAATAGATACCAGCTCCCGGGCGAGAAAAACGGAACACATGAGATCGAGGCAAAGTGTGCCAGCCCGGTCCTAAGCCCGGTCCAAGCTGGCGTCCAAACCGTGAAATCGCATGGCATACAGCATGGTTACTACTTCGTGTACGGTACACAAATTGTAAGTGTTCTCCTTCGTCGAACGCAATTGACGCTAATTGAAAGGATTTTTCATGTACTTGCTATTCTGATCCTTTCAAAATGTACGATAATGCTATCTCGATAAAAAGTTTATGCCTTTCATCATCAGTCTTTTATGTTATTATGTATAGGTTTTAGGGTAAGAAAGAAGTTGGATTAAAACGTTTATACTCCAGTCGTCCCTTGCACAGAATAATAGGCGTAGCTCAGTAATCCAGAAAGCTATCAGCTCGACTCAGGGTTAGAGATGTACCCACTAA